CTGACTTTTGGTTTGTACCTGGTCCTTTTTTTTTTTTTTAATAGAAGTCTTTTTGAAGTAGAAGTCATCACTAATTCTGTATAGGCTGAATCTACCAGAGGAATAGCTAATACAAAAAATACTTTCGGTTTATTAGATTTAATCACTTTCCATATGTCTGCATGGATATAGTATATTTAAATGACTACCACATATACTATGTAAGTCAGGTGATTCAGAAACACCCATTGTGATATAGGATATGAATTTATTGCCTAGAGAGACTTTGAGATATGTCACAAAAGTTGCAGGTTTTCTTTTTGATTGTGGACTATGTGCATTCCCATGTCTACGTACATGATACCCAAATCATTTTGAGACTCATTTGTAGTTCATGTCTGTTCTAGGTTTTTGAAGGAGGAAGTAATACCTGTGGTATACTTTTTTGTTATTTCAAAGATATTCTATCGCCTAATACATAATCTGGCTCATGCTCTCTTGGGAATATTATTTATAATAATTTCACTTTTCTTTCTGCTCCCTCCCTCCTCCTTCCCTTTCTTTTTCCTTTTCTTTCCCTCCCTCCCTCCCTCCCTCCTTCCCTCCCTATATAGGGGATACCAGTTATTCCTAGTTTTAGATACAGAAATAATCTCTCCCATCATTATGTAATTTCTCAAACTTTCCATATTATATTTTCAAATATATCTTTTGGGAGTTATAAACAATATTGGAAAGAGACTAGAGAGTTGGTTTAGAAATAGATCAATAATATGCAGCAGTATCTTATAACATTTTGCTTTTATTTTTAGGTTCATGGTTCCAAATCCATGAATATATTTGGAGGCTTTCGGCAGATGGTAAAAGAGGGAGGAATCCGTTCTCTTTGGAGAGGAAATGGCACAAATGTCATTAAAATTGCTCCTGAGACAGCTGTTAAGTTCTGGGCCTATGAACAGGTAATTGTTACCATCTGTGGAAGTTATTAGCAAAGAGGAGTTAGTAAACTGAATCAATGAAGATTAGCACACAGTGCTCTGGGATTCTTTCCTACACACTCCATGAGGAGTTTCTTAGGGGAGATTAGAACCGAACTTGTGATTCCTCACAACTAAATTCTGGGAGTTTGAATTTCATAATAATATTTATAAAGAGACATTTCTCCCTCTCTTTTCTAAGTGGCTCTTAAAGATATGATTATAACTTATTCATTTTGAATCCCTGGAAATAAAACTATGGGGATGAATTCCTTTGTGTGAATGGAATTGAATTTAATGGGGAAAGTTCCAGAAGGGAGGGTCTGGCTTCCCCCTGCACTCAGGCATCCAGAAGTCCCCAGAACTTGTGAAGTAGATCCAGCCTTCCCATGCACTCCAGCACCCAGACCTCCCCAGAACTTGTGAAGTGCTGTTTGTTGTATGAGTGGGAAGGGAAATGAAGGCCTTTGCTTCTCATCAGCTTCCCTGTTGACTTCATTGAGTGGACTGAAACAGCAGTCAGTTTTAGAGGTTGGTTTCTCCTGCAGTTATTAATGGAACCATAGGCGATAATCTGCAAGGTTATTTTTTTTCTGTCATTGACTCTGTCGTTTATCATGGCCTATATGGGCCCTGAAATTTAACTCTATCCAGAGTTTTTGTTTCATCTTAGGTTATTCTGGAAAGAATCAGAACACTTGAAAGTACCAAGTCCAGTGGTGTCCATTCCTCAACTTAGGAAATAGAGAAGCAAAGAAAAAGAGTGATAGACCATCACACCTCAGGACTTTCATTGGAACCCATTTTGGTGCAAAAATATTTTCCTGATGTGAATATTTGAGCATTGAGATTATGACTAATTTTATGATAGGAAAGCCAGAGCCTAAGATAAATATTAAAAAACAATGTCATTATTTCAATATAAGGAAGTTTGGTGTAATTGAAAGTCCATGTCTGTTGTACGCAGCTGTGCACATTACACTTTATGCCGTTTGTCTGATTCTTGCACTGGCTATCCAACAGGCCTGTCTGCTTACCTCCAACCAGGCCTCCCTCCTCACTCACTGTTTTTTGATCTCTAGATGCTGACTTTTCTTTTCAGAGGAAGCTCTTTATAGTGTAGTATAGTGGCATTATAGTCTCTGGGGCATATGATTTCACTCAGTTTTCTCCCCTCTGCAGAAGGTCCATTCATCCACTAGTGCTTTCTGGACACCATCCTCATGTGAGAAGCATTTCCTGAGCCTCCCAACCTAAACCAGAGCCTCCCCTGCCAAGCCCCATTAGAGTGCTGACTCCCAGAATAGCTGTTTGCCATTGGATAATGAATAGAGTGCTCGTTGTCCCCCCAGTGAGCAGCTCTGTATTACTTCAGGGTAGATATTATGCCACATATATTCTCAGAGTTCTCAGAGGGCCTAGACACCTTGCTTCTGGATTCAGATAAGTTTTGGTCATTGAATTGCTAGAAGGTGAGAAAACTAAGCAAAGGATGTTTTCCCTTTGAGATGTAGATTTCTTACACACACCGTTAAGGCTGGGTATTGCTTGGGTTGCCCTTATCCGTTATCACAGCAGAGCTGTTGTGTTGTTGATGGAGTAGCAGTGTTCAGTGTTCTTATGATCTCAGCATCTATCTCTGTACTAACTGCCCTCCATTCTGATATTTTTCTCCTTCTCTCTGTACCTATACATTTGTCCTGTGTGCTGTATATCTCTGTGCCCCTCCCCCCGTCTCTCTGTGTCTCTCTGTATCTCTCTCCAAGGGCACCTCAACTCAACATGTCCAAAACATCAGTCATCCTTCCTCTGCTAGACCTTTCTATTCCAGCACACACACACACACGCACACACACACACACACACACACACACACACGTTCCTCCTTGTATGTCATAGTGGTGAACTGTCCTTTAATGCTTTATTCAGGAGTTAATTCCCCCAGGAAACCTGCATCTCTAGAGTTTCTTCCTTTCGTTCTTTTCCACACTGAATTCAGTGTGAACTTCAGTATTTAGTCAGTGTCTTTTGTGAGACTGTGGGCTTCCTTAGGCTGCAGCTGTTTGTTTTCAGGTTCGTATTCCCAACACCTTGCCAAATGCCAGGAAGTCCCTACTGAATGAGTGAAAAGAACTCCCAGGGCTTGAATGGGGGCTCAAGCCTATCAGAACCCATCTCCAGCCACTAAGATGGGCATTTCAAGTAGCATACGGACAGAAATGTGGATACAAGAAAGTGTCCTTTACTGAGGCAGAAGGCCGTTCCCTGAGCCTCCATTGGAGTTTCTAGAAGGACAATGACAAAGGCAGACTGGACAGACAGGCAGGAGTTGAAAGTAACAGGAATCTAGATTTCCTCCTGAATATGGTAGGGGAGTGTTGAGGTATCTTGTACAGAGAAGTAAAATGTGTAATTTATATTTAAGGAAGACCATATGGCAAAAAAAGATGTGGAAGTATTGGCGGAGGGTGAGGCTGGACTAGACCCAGGGAGATGAGCTCAGAATAGGTGATAGCTGTAGGGACTGGAGAAGCAAGGAATGAATTGAGAAATAATTTGGAAATAGAATCAGCAGAACTCACTGACTGTTTGGGCAGGGAGGTCAGAAAGAGATGAACCAAGGATGACGGTGATGACCCAATTGAGCAGCTTTACACAGAGACTGCAGTGTCAGGTTCCATGTTGGATGAGTTGAGTATGATTTTGAGTCTCAGTTGAGTATCTGTGGGGATGTAAAGCAAAAGCCAAAGGGACAGGAGGATGTTCAGAGAGAGAGAGAGAGAGAAAGAGAGAGAGAGGAAGAGGAAGAAGAAGAGGAGGAGGTGGCAGACAGAGGAAGAGAGAGAGACTCTAGGAAAGAGAAGGGTTTCACGAAGGGTCACATGCTGATGGTGACAAATACAGCCTGTCTTTTAAGATTTGCCAATTCAAAGATAAGTAAACTACTATAAATGCTGTAGTGAAATGAAGAGATCATGAACCGTACCAAAACAAGCTAAAAGTGATTCACATGTGAAGACACTGAAGAACTGAACCACTTTGACATCGTTCTCTGGGATTATGATGGTGAAAGGAAGAGGGGGAAGGTGATGGGTTCGAGATGGAGAGAGCTTTGATTCAGTGCTACTGTTGCTGAAGGAAGCATGGCAGGACAAGGGAACAGGTAACCTGCAGGTGGAGAGGCTAATAGATGCAGCAGGTGTTCAGAGGAAGTGAGGGTGGGGTGGAGGGGTGGGAAGGGGCTGAAGGAGAAATAAATTCTATCTAGAGACCATTAGAAGCTCCCTTTGGCTTACAAGAATACTCTTTACCAACTTCGGGAGAAAGAGGGCATAAACAGCCGTGGGGAGGTTTTTGTAGTGTAGGCAGGAATAGCAAGGTGTTCTTACTTACTGGTCTTTATTTATCCCTGAGTTTTTAAGAGTGGTGGCCTTTCCTAAGAGGGAGGGACGGAGTGGTGTTAAGGAAGAAGGATGCATTCCAGTGAAGAGAGGGTTCTCACGAATGTTGGGAGGGAGAAGGGACATGGACAGAAAGACTCTGAGGGAGGCTTTGAAAGTCCGGGAAGGTCTCCTTTAGGAAAGTCAGATTCTGTAGCCTTGGTCAGCTATTTAAAGTCTGGCTGATACCTCATCTCTAACACGCGTACTAAGTTTGTTGTCCTTATGTCAGGTGCCTGGTGCAGTGTCAGACTCTTCACAGGTTGTCTGTTCTCAACTCTGCTTTCTGTGGAGAGCAGGTTTGGAGCCCCAGGAGCTCCAAACATGAATTTATTTATTTTTCACTAATTGATAAATGTTTACTGTTTTTAAGAGATGCTGTGAATGTGTGCAGGGGCTACAAGAAGTGAATAATGTTTTCATCGTTCCTTTTTTTAAGTCTTTTTTGAGACAGGGTCTCCCTGTAGCCCCGGCTGTCCTGGAACTCACTATGTAGACCGAGCTGGCCTCAAACTCACAGAGATCTGCCTGCTTCTCCCTCCCAAGTGCTGGGATCAAAGGCATGTACCACCATAACCGGCTACATATTTCATTTTATATTCATGAAAAATAAGTTTGTTCATACATTCATCCCTCCCTCCCTCTCTTCCTCCCTCCTTCCCCCGTCCCCTCCCTTCCTTCTTGACAGTACCTCATTACGTAGCTTAGTCTGGCCTTGAACTTGTGATTCTCTGTCTCTGCCTCTCAAGCGCTGTGTGTTGTGCTTCACCATTGTTGGCATTGCATGAAGGTTTTAAACAAACTCCCTTTAATAATTATGGCAACCTGACAGGACAATTACTAGGACCCTTGCAGAGGGGCAACTGTATGTTATGTAGCATTCTGGCTTTTCAGGAAACAGAATCTTTGGAAGTGCCTTTTATGGAAGAATATCTATTACTTGAGGAACTTCATGAAATACTAACATATTTGATTTTTATCATGAACAGGGAAATACACTTTTGCTAGGATGAGCCATCCTGTGTTGTTGTAGTCATTGGGCAATTCGGATCCCAAGGGACAGCAACTGGCTGGCTTAGGAATGAGGGTCACTGAAGGGGCAGGGCATGTGGCTCCAAGGGAAGGATCCTTCAAGAAGCCCAGCAGCTAGACCCCTGCCCCCCTGCCCTCTCCTCTCCACATGTGTCTCTGCTCTTACTGGCTTCTTTGCTGCCATTGACTGACTACCTCTCTGGAGTCATAGCACACTCTTGAGAGAAGGGATCTTGTTTGCCTGGCCACAGTCTTTGTTCAGGCCAGAGTGTTTTTGTTCATTTTTTTCACAGTGTAAGAGCACAATATATTAGTAGTAATAATAATAACTAGTGAACATTTGCTGTGTGCCTAGCACAGTGATAAATTGTACTGTGCATATTATTTGATTTGATCCTATCAACAGCCATGTGACATAGGCAGTGCTGTCCTAGACCAGGGATGGTGCAACTTGAATATGATCATGAGCTTGCTCAGAGCCATGCGGCTGGGTGGTTCCACCCTGGGTCTACCTGGTTAGTTTTGGGCCTTCATTTGGGTCTTAGTTGTACTTTAGTCTAATCAGTTCTGTTGGTTGCTTTATACTGGTGACCACCCAGAGAGATATTGGGGTGGGCACATTAGTATAATTTACTGTATGTCTATGAAAAGTATTTTCTAAGTTGTTTTGCTAATATTTGTTTGTCATATAGTTACATGTATTTGTGAAAGGAAATTCATTTTTAAAAAAGAAAATATGGGAAGATACTTAAATTATGAAAACTATAGATTCCACTTTTTTCCTGTGCATTAGGGAAAAATAGTATTGTGTTTTGGCAAAGGGACAGCTTGGTCCAGCCTGTGGAATGTCTATGTTCTGTAGAAATCTGGACTCGTTCTCTTTTTCTTTTTGGTGCTGGGATTGGAGTTCAAGACGTTACATGTGTTAGGCACATGCTTTACCACAGAGCTATATTCCTAGCCTGGTGGAAATCTAATTTGAAAACCAGCACATAGGAAACAAAGTCAATAGCATTTACGCCCTGCTTTTATGCTAAGGTTGTTAATGTAGGGGATGTATTCTGAGGCGACTTATTATACTATAAATGAATTGATTTTTAGGATCTGATTTGTATTTTGTCATGACCTTTTTTAAAAAAATATTTATTATTTTTATTTTATGTGTATGAGAGAGAATATTGCCTGCATGTGTGTAAATATACCTGTGTCATGCAATGCCTGTAGAGTTCAGAAGAGGGCATCAGATTCTCCTGAAACTGGACCTACAGATGGTTGTCAGCCTCCATGTGGGTGCTGGGAATCAAATCCTGGTGCTCTGCAAGAGCAGCCAGTGCTCTTAATTGCTGAGCCATCTCTCCACCCATTTTGTCATTATTTTAGTTACCTTGGGCAGCCATATTAAATACCACCAACTGTGTAGTTAAAAAAAACTATGTGTTAAAAACAAGTAAAGTTTATTTCTCACAGTTCCAGAAGTAGAAGAATATTAGATGAAGGGGCTGTCAATTGGGTCTCTAGTAAGGACTCTCTTCCTGGCTTCTCACTCTGTTGTCAGATGGCCTCAGTGTGTGATTCAGTGGAGGGTAAGCCCTCGAATGTCTCCTCTCATAAGGATGTTGGTTCTCTCCTGAGGGCTCCATCCTTACAACCTATCTAACCATAATTACTCAAAGGCCCCATCTCCTAAATCAACACGGTTAAGATTCAATGTATTTGGGAGTCTTAGCAGCTGTTAATGTGCATTTCAAAATTTATTTATACAGTACAAGAAGTTGCTTACTGAGGAAGGACAAAAAATAGGAACCTTTGAGAGATTTATTTCTGGATCCATGGCTGGAGCAACTGCACAGACTTTTATTTATCCCGTGGAGGTAAGTACCATTGTGTGGTCCAACTGTGTGACACGACACAGTGTCTACATTCAACTAGGACACTAGACTCTCCAGAACACTTGTTCTGTCCCACCAGCTCTTCTCAAAAGCTCCTGCAGAGGATGCCTAGAAAAGATTCTTGTTAACTGAAGCATTAATTAGCATTTTAAAGTGAGGGTTGAGGTGACATGAGGTTAACAGCATGGCTTGAAAGCTGGCACCATACATATCAACTTTACTGATGACTCAGTAGAATACAGAAGGGAGAGACTAGAGTGCATGCCCAGGGGGAGACCTGCTATAGACTAGGAGAGAAGACACAGGCAAGGGAGGGTGGATTTAGGGAGAGGAACAGAATAGCTGACAGAAGAACTGGAAATGGGAGGAATGGGAGAGAGGGAAAGATCTCTGGAGCACAGAGGGTGATAAGGCCCCTAAGGTGATCCACCCGAGGTTCTCAGCTGGACTTCTCTTCTCACCTCCAGAGGGCATGTAGCAATGTCTGAAGGCATCTTCAGTCTTCACTGGATGCACACACTGGCACCACTTGGCAGGTGCCAGGAATGCTGACCCTACCACAAAGAATTACCCACCCCAAATGGCAAGGGTGCTGAGGCTGAGAACGAACGCTGCTCCAAACCATGGAGACGATTATAAACTGGAGGTCCCCAAGGCAAGCCAGATAGGGCTAGATGCACTTAGTTTGGTCCCTTGAGGGGTTTTTCTCTGTATGTGTGTTTGATGTGTGTATGGTGTGGTATATGTGTGTGGTATAGTGTGTGTATGTGCATTTGGTGTGTGATCAGGCCCCAGGGGACAGTCTAAGTTGTCATTTCTCAAGATGCATTGCGCACTGTTTTTTAAAAATATATTTTAGTCATTATTTTTATGTGTATCTGTGTATGACCTGCATGCAGGTAAGTGTACCTGTGTCATGCAGTGCTGGCAGAAAACAGAAAAGGCTGTCAAATCCACTGGGACTGGAGTTACAGACAGTTGTTAGCTGCCATGTGGGTGCTGGGATTCGAACAATCAGTGTTCTTAACTGCCGAGCCATCTCTCCAGCCCCGCACCCTGTTTTTTGAGACAGAGTCTCTCAGTGGCCTGGAGCGCATCTTCCGTAGGCTAGGTTGACGGACCAGCAAGCCCCAGAGATCTGCCTGTCTCTGTCTCCCTAGTGCTGGGATTACAAGCACCCACCACCATGCCTAGCATTTTGTGTGTGTTTTGGGGCTTGAACTCAGGTCGTCATGCTTGTGTTGCAAGCACTTTATAGACAGAGTCACGAGTCCCTAGAGATTGCTTATATTCCCTCGCACACCCCTCAGCAAAGGCTCCTCATTCAGTACCCACTTTTATGTGGGTTCTGGGGATCAAGCTCAGTTCCTCATGCTTCTGCTGCAGACACTTTATAGACTGAGCTACTCCCCAGCCCCTGGAGATTGCTTATATTGCCCCAAACATTCCTCAAAATAGGATCCTAATTCAGCACTCATTTTTTTCTTTCCTATCCTTCATTTCAATGAATACCCTCACATTCCTACCTCCCTTCTTCCCCTATCCTATGCTCCAAGCTGGAGACCCTGGCATCATCCTTTACAGCACCATTTCCCTTACCACCCTTATCAATGGATTTTATTATGATACCAGTAGATTATCTTGTTGATATTGTGTTATATTCCTTTGTATCTAGGTTTTGAAAACCAGACTGGCTGTAGCCAAAACTGGACAATATTCTGGAATATATGGCTGTGCCAAGAAGATTTTGAAACATGAAGGGTTTGGGGCTTTTTACAAAGGCTATGTTCCCAACTTGTTAGGGATCATACCGTATGCAGGCATCGATCTTGCTGTGTATGAGGTGAGTTTAGAGCAATGCTTGAATAGCAAATGTAAATACAGGGCTTATATTCATCGAATTTGACTTTATATTCAGAGCGGGTAAATATAGGAAAACAGTCTGTGACCAGACTCTATGAATGTGCTCTTTGGTCTTTTGGGGACTTGATTATGAGACCACATGTGTACAGAGTCATTTTTGTTTTATATTTCCTCATGTATTACTCTTCTTAGAGCGTGGACTCAAATTCAGCCTAGACGATGGCATGGGTGGTTTTTTGGAGAGGAGAAAGGGGGAGAAAAAATAAGCAGAACTCTTTTTGAATTATTAAATCCTGGCAGTGATAAAGTCAAGCCGGTGTAACTCAGATTTATCCCATGTAATGTAAACAGTTTCTGGGGGAGGTGAAGTGGCTGTGTCTGTCTGCAAAGGACTCACAATGCGAGCATGAAGGCTTCAGTTCAGTCTTTTCAGACAACTCACAATACAAACTTTGGATCGCCCCTGCCACATAGATTACTTAATAGCTTAGGAATCTGACAAACATTTGCTGAGCACACACTGTACAAACCACTGGATTAGATACTTCACCTGGGAATTGAAAGCAGGACTCAGGACCAGCCTTTAGGGACCCGAAGGACTCAGGACCAGCCTTTAGGGACTCGAAGGACTCAGGACCAGCCTTTAGGGACCCGAAGGACTCAGGACCAGCCTTTAGGGACCCGAAGGACTCAGGACCAGCCTTTAGGGACTCGAAGGACTCAGGACCAGCCTTTAGGGACCCGAAGGACTCAGGACCAGCCTTTAGGGACCCGAAGGACTCAGGACCAGCCTTTAGGGACTCGAAGGACTCAGGACCAGCCTTTAGGGACCCGAAGGACTCAGGACCAGCCTTTAGGGACCCGAAGGACTCAGGACCAGCCTTTAGGGACTCGAAGGACTCAGGACCAGCCTTTAGGGACCCGAAGGACTCAGGACCAGCCTTTAGGGACCCGAAGGACTCAGGACCAGCCTTCAGGGACCCGAAGGACTCAGGACCAGCCTTCAGGGACCCGAAGGACTCAGGACCAGCCTTCAGGGACCCGAAGGACTCAGGACCAGCCTTCAGGGACCCGAAGGACTCAGGACCAGCCTTCAGGGACCCGAAGGACTCAGGACCAGCCTTCAGGGACCCGAAGGACTCAGGACCAGCCTTCAGGGACCCGAAGGACTCAGGACCAGCCTTCAGGGACCCGAAGGACTCAGGACCAGCCTTCAGGGACCCGAAGGACTCAGGACCAGCCTTCAGGGACCCGAAGGACTCAGGACCAGCCTTCAGGGACCCGAAGGACTCAGGACCAGCCTTCAGGGACCCGAAGGACTCAGGACCAGCCTTCAGGGACCCGAAGGACTCAGGACCAGCCTTCAGGGACCCGAAGGACTCAGGACCAGCCTTCAGGGACCCGAAGGACTCAGGACCAGCCTTCAGGGACCCGAAGGACTCAGGACCAGCCTTCAGGGACCCGAAGGACTCAGGACCAGCCTTCAGGGACCCGAAGGACTCAGGACCAGCCTTCAGGGACCCGAAGGACTCAGGACCAGCCTTCAGGGACCCGAAGGACTCAGGACCAGCCTTCAGGGACCCGAAGGACTCAGGACCAGCCTTCAGGGACCCGAAGGACTCAGGACCAGCCTTCAGGGACCCGAAGGACTCAGGACCAGCCTTCAGGGACCCGAAGGACTCAGGACCAGCCTTCAGGGACCCGAAGGACTCAGGACCAGCCTTCAGGGACCCGAAGGACTCAGGACCAGCCTTCAGGGACCCGAAGGACTCAGGACCAGCCTTCAGGGACCCGAAGGACTCAGGACCAGCCTTCAGGGACCCGAAGGACTCAGGACCAGCCTTCAGGGACCCGAAGGACTCAGGACCAGCCTTCAGGGACCCGAAGGACTCAGGACCAGCCTTCAGGGACCCGAAGGACTCAGGACCAGCCTTCAGGGACCCGAAGGACTCAGGACCAGCCTTCAGGGACCCGAAGGACTCAGGACCAGCCTTCAGGGACCCGAAGGACTCAGGACCAGCCTTCAGGGACCCGAAGGACTCAGGACCAGCCTTCAGGGACCCGAAGGACTCAGGACCAGCCTTCAGGGACCCGAAGGACTCAGGACCAGCCTTCAGGGACCCGAAGGACTCAGGACCAGCCTTCAGGGACCCGAAGGACTCAGGACCAGCCTTCAGGGACCCGAAGGACTCAGGACCAGCCTTCAGGGACCCGAAGGACTCAGGACCAGCCTTCAGGGACCCGAAGGACTCAGGACCAGCCTTCAGGGACCCGAAGGACTCAGGACCAGCCTTCAGGGACCCGAAGGACTCAGGACCAGCCTTCAGGGACCCGAAGGACTCAGGACCAGCCTTCAGGGACCCGAAGGACTCAGGACCAGCCTTCAGGGACCCGAAGGACTCAGGACCAGCCTTCAGGGACCCGAAGGACTCAGGACCAGCCTTCAGGGACCCGAAGGACTCAGGACCAGCCTTCAGGGACCCGAAGGACTCAGGACCAGCCTTCAGGGACCCGAAGGACTCAGGACCAGCCTTCAGGGACCCGAAGGACTCAGGACCAGCCTTCAGGGACCCGAAGGACTCAGGACCAGCCTTCAGGGACCCGAAGGACTCAGGACCAGCCTTCAGGGACCCGAAGGACTCAGGACCAGCCTTCAGGGACCCGAAGGACTCAGGACCAGCCTTCAGGGACCCGAAGGACTCAGGACCAGCCTTCAGGGACCCGAAGGACTCAGGACCAGCCTTCAGGGACCCGAAGGACTCAGGACCAGCCTTCAGGGACCCGAAGGACTCAGGACCAGCCTTCAGGGACCCGAAGGACTCAGGACCAGCCTTCAGGGACCCGAAGGACTCAGGACCAGCCTTCAGGGACCCGAAGGACTCAGGACCAGCCTTCAGGGACCCGAAGGACTCAGGACCAGCCTTCAGGGACCCGAAGGACTCAGGACCAGCCTTCAGGGACCCGAAGGACTCAGGACCAGCCTTCAGGGACCCGAAGGACTCAGGACCAGCCTTCAGGGACCCGAAGGACTCAGGACCAGCCTTCAGGGACCCGAAGGACTCAGGACCAGCCTTCAGGGACCCGAAGGACTCAGGACCAGCCTTCAGGGACCCGAAGGACTCAGGACCAGCCTTCAGGGACCCGAAGGACTCAGGACCAGCCTTCAGGGACCCGAAGGACTCAGGACCAGCCTTCAGGGACCCGAAGGACTCAGGACCAGCCTTCAGGGACCCGAAGGACTCAGGACCAGCCTTCAGGGACCCGAAGGACTCAGGACCAGCCTTCAGGGACCCGAAGGACTCAGGACCAGCCTTCAGGGACCCGAAGGACTCAGGACCAGCCTTCAGGGACCCGAAGGACTCAGGACCAGCCTTCAGGGACCCGAAGGACTCAGGACCAGCCTTCAGGGACCCGAAGGACTCAGGACCAGCCTTCAGGGACCCGAAGGACTCAGGACCAGCCTTCAGGGACCCGAAGGACTCAGGACCAGCCTTCAGGGACCCGAAGGCAGATCTTTACCCCATGTCTCTTTTCGTGTTTTTTTTTTTTTCTGTGAATGGGAATAAAACGAGTTAGCAGCAATGTTTTCAAAGACCTTGGCATTTGCTAAACTCTCAAGGGAAATGGTGGTAGGTTGTTAGTGAGTGCTGCTCCCACCCTACCACTCTGCACTGTGCTCTCCTTTCTGTGATACTCCTCCGCTCGCACCTGTCAGATCATTTACTATTCTCTTGCTGTTTTCTGGTGTTTATTGCTACTTGGTCCTTTTTTTCTCCCAGGTTAATCTCATCTGCTGTCATTTCTTTCAATGATGTCTACCATGCATCTGTGACTCCATCCCAACCTCTCTTCGCATGTGGTCATCCTTCCTTCAGCCAGTCAGTCAACAAGATAGTAGCCCACTCTTTAACATACTACTTCTTGAGCCATCACTGGGCATCAGATGCTGTGCTGGATGCTGGGGTCAGAGAACTCAACGAATCAGATGTGGTTCTTGTTACTTTAGAGTAGAACAGACATAGATTTAGTCAGTACGCAGTAAACACCTCCTGACAAAGGCTCCAGCCTAATTTGAGCTGAAGACTGGGGAGACAGTGTGAGCCATCTGGGCATAGGCCTCTAGAGAGGTGTGTTTGAGGAGACAATCAGAGGCTGCAGAGAAAGGTGCAGTGTAGCAGAATAAATGTCTCACGTGCACTCATTTAACAATCCTAACCACGTTGCGAACATGATACTAATGTTATCCACATCTGGCAAATGGTAACAGGGGTAAAAATAAGTAAGAACTTCCTTTGGGAAGAGTGAAGCTGGGGTTCAGAACCACACAGCCATTTAAAGATTTGTTTTTATTTTTAATTATGTATACATGTGTGGAGGTATGATGATTGCAGGTGTCCACAGAAACCAGAAGCATCGGGTCACCTAGGAGCTGGGGTTACAGGTGGTTGTAAGCCACCCAGCATGGTTGCTGCGAATTGAACTCAGGTCCTCTGGAAGAACAGTATGTGCTCTTAACTGCTGAGCCATCTCTCCAGTCCCACACAGTGATTCGAACTGTTGCCCAATCAGCCCCTGCCTCCTGTTAGCTCCAGTCTAGACTTTTGTATGGCTGCCAGGTTTGTCACTTCTGGTAAAGGCTCTGTCTTTTTATATCTATTCAGACATTGTGGTAACTCTTCAGTTAACCCTGGAGTAAATTCCAAAGTTCTCAGCGGGAATTCCAAAGCCCTTAGGAATCTGATGGTGCTTCATTTTTGGCTCCAGCCCCGTTTCCCCACCTGCATTATACGATCTCATGACTTTTCCTGTGGAGAATTGAACAAACCAACATCTGTCTATTCAGCTCAGATAGGACAACAGTAGTCCAGAGAAATGATTCCGCTCCTGTCTCTCCTAGTGGACCAATGAGTTTACTGGGATTACTTATGGGAGCATAGAAGAGGGGGTCCTTACAGGAGCGCGAGTGACCCAGAGGCAGCTGCACCACTGAAGAGCCCACCCCAGCATGGGCGATGACTCTCGGAAGCACAATCCCTGGATCTCCTGCCTAACCTGCAGGCAGGTTGGTGTGTTGGGGAGTCTTCTTTCTCGGCTTATGTAACATTTTGGAGGGGCCTTATGAATCTTCTAAGTTTCAGGAACTTCCTGAACCTTGTTCATTTTATTTCCTGAGGTTTTGGAGTCTCTTTCCTCCTTCCAGGAGAGGCTATTTCAACTCAGAGGAAATAACTACACAACAAACCTCCAGCCTCTTGTACTCTGTGGGAAACAATGACAGCTAAAGGTCACCATGGTTTCCCGCCCATGCTGTTCCTGCCCTTGTCTTTTGCTGGACCAGTAATGCAGGGTTTCTTCCTCTGCCTGCCTCCACCCCATCTGCTGAGATAATTTTCAAGGCCCAGGTGTATATTCTTTCTAAATGTCCCTAAGTCACCTCTTCCCATATTCTCCAAAATTAATTCGTTTTCCTCAGTGCTTGGGGAGGATGCTACCACAGAGTGATGTGATAGAAAGTGTTTGACTGTGGCATCAGCAGACCACAGCTGTTTGGGAGTAGTAGTTGGCTACTACTGCTAACTAAGGATTTTAGGACAAGCTTCTCCATCTTCCCAAGCTTCTAATTCCTCATTTACAAATGGGTATATTTACCCTGAAGGGCTAGTATGGAAAGTAATTAACCCAGTATCTAGCACATAGCAATTAACAAAGAGCTGTTGTGATAGCTGTTGTTGTAGCTAGGAAACTCACTGTTAGGTGCTATAGAAAAAGGATTTTTATTTTGGAATATTGATTTTTAAAAATTATTTCAGCAAGGCATGGTGGCACACACCTTTAATCCCAGCACTCGGGAGGCAGAGGCAGGCAGATCGTTGTGAATTCAAGACCAGCCTGGTCTACATGGTGAGTTGAGGTCAGCTGGGACTACAGGGAGACCCTGTCTCAAAAAGACAAAAAAAATTATTTCATTATGCCAGGCATGGCGGCATATGCCTTTAATCCTAGCCTTCAGGAGGGAGAAGCAGGTGGATTTCTGTGAGATCAAGGCCAGCCTGGTCCACATAATGACTTCCACACAGGCTGGGGCTATGGAAACCCTGTCAAAACAACAACAACAAACAACAATTATTTCATTGTGTTTTAGATAACAGTCTGAATCCTCATTGTCTGTTGTAATAATAATGGAACATTATAGCACCCTAGATCGACCTGGCTTCCTCATTTTCCTTTATTCTTTCTTTTTTAGCCATGGTAGAAGGAACTCCACAGTTGAACATGGTTGGCCTTTTTCGTAGAATAGTTTCCAAAGAAGGAATATCAGGACTTTATAGAGGCATCACCCCAAACTTCATGAAGGTGCTCCCCGCTGTTGGCATCAGCTATGTGGTGTATGAAAATATGAAGCAGACTCTAGGGGTGGCCCAGAAGTGACATGTCGAAGCCTTTCCTTTTGTATGATGACTGAGATTTTCAGTGTTCTCTGCGGCAACTTCTAGAATGACAGGAAGTCTATTGCAAAAGAAGCTGTTTGTTTTCCCACAAAGGCGAAGAGTATATCATGATCACTTCAAACGTTTGGGCTCAGTTTTAGATCTTCAGTACTGTTAAAAATCATAGTTTTCATAAGTTTTGAGGAAGCCACAAAATTCTACTTTATCTTTTTCTAATCATCCCTTCACCAGATCTGTGTCCTTCACCATAAATCTGAAAATGTACTTGCATGAGCTGAATTCATTTTGTGTGGTAGAATTTATAAACCACTAGCCTTTATTTTTATTGACTAAGCTTCTGTCAATTCCTTTATACCTAAATTTCTATTTTAAAAACCAAAATGATCAGAAAGCTTTGAAACTTAAATTGTTTTATATATATTGAATGTTTTTATACACTTCTTAACATCCCCTTACAGGATCATTAATAGAAAAATTTTTTGAACCAAAGAGAAATTATGGACTTGTGTTTATGACTCATATTCTACCTTCATACTTGTATTACTGATGCCTGATACTGTCTCAGTAATTTTATACTATGTGAAAAGCAAGGGACTTTACTTTGTCTTCAGAGTTATTTATACTTTTGAGTAATACATAAATCATAATATTAAGGTGCACGATTCCTTCTGTTTATTCATAAAAATTGTGGAAACAGGGGTGGAGAGATGACTCAGAGATGACTGTCTGCTCTTGAAGAGGACCTGGGTTTGATTCCCAGCACCCACATGGTGACTGACAACCATCTGTAACTCCAGGTCCAGGTGATCCGACACCCTCTTCTGACCTCCAAGGGCATTATGATGACATGGGTGCACCCATCTACATGCAGGCAATACAGTCATACACATAAAATAGAAATAATAAATAAAATTTTTTAAATTATGGAAATGAATAATTCTCTTAACAGTTTTGGAATTTTAAGCTGGTGAAAACTATGAAAATAGTCATAATTCATTATGAATTTCAGTTGCTCCCTGTTAGGTACATATAAGATATGAATGTGATTTATCTAAGCATCTTGGATCTTTTGCAAACATCACCTTCAATCATTTGGAAAAGCCTCACATTGAAGTTAGCTTATTTCTGACTGCACTGCATAACCATTTCTTATTTTCATTAAAGCTATATATTGTTTTTAAAATGTCTTGCTTCCTAATGGTTTTAGTTTCCTTTTTGTTGCTTAGGGGAGGAAAGGGTTTATTTCAGCATCGGGTTGTAGTTCATCATCGAGGGACATCAGGGCAGGAACTGAAGCAGACACCATGTGGGCTGGGCCCTCCTACATCAAGTGACTATGCAGACCGTTCCCCACAGACATGCTCTCAGGCCAGTCTAATCTGGGAAATCCCTCAGTTGAGACTCCCTTCTCTGGTGACTCTAGACTGTGTCAAGTTGACAGTTGCAGTTAACTAGGACACTAATTTTGAAAAGAATTCAGAAATAATTCAAAAGCTTTGACTGACCAGGGTTTGCACAATGCTTTCCCACCTGGCTCTCCATAGTCTTTCTGAATCCTTTGGCCCTTCTGGAGCAGCCATCGGATCGTGCATTTAGACACAAGATGCTGCTTTATCTGGCGTTCAGATTCCATATGGACCAGTAAGGACTACGGTCAGTGCCTAGAAGAATCCAAAACTGCAGGGTTAGCCTGGCAGATCTTGGTACAGAGGGTTTTTATCTTGAAATTGTGTGAAAGAAAACATGAGTGAGTTTACTAGTAACTGGGGAAAGTTTTATATTACAGATTAAACATAAATATTAAATTTGATTGAAATGCTTTTGGAAATGAAACAAGACCATGGAGAGTCTACGTTCTAGCTCTGGTACCACCCAGACTGGAGAAATAATGCTGTCAGTCCTCTGATACTTTCAATATGTTGTCACTTTGTTTCCTGCCTGTTACTCTCTTGTCCCTGCATCAAGAATAAGCTTCATGCAAATGGGGAGTCTGCTTAATTTGTTTTCCGAGCCTCCCGTCATGTGTCAAAGTGTGGCCTGGGGATGCTTTCCTTGTCCCCAGACGGAGATTTGGTCAGCCCCTTTGTTTTCAAGAAATTTCAGTTTGTGGAGGGGGAGCACCAGCAACTCATCCTCTCTGTCTCTGCCCTGTTGATGGGTGGGGTGGTAGGAACACCTCAGGCCATACTCTCAGGTCCCAGCTGCCTTCCATACAGGCCAGGACAGTTCTACAACTCTTGGGCCAAGCAGGTGTGAATGAAGTTGCCTGTTCACAGCTTGTAGGAGGGATGAGGTGTCTTAGAAACCTACTGAGTCATTGCACCTTAGTCACTTGGCCACGTTACTGTGGCGCCATCTGCTAGGAAAATAGAAGTACTGCAAGCCTGCGGCTGTTCAGGCCTTTATCCCATCAGCATTCATTGGTTCATTACGTGTTTATTAAGCACATACTCTATGCTAGACATCTTTCCTGAGGCCACAGAATTAAGCAAAATATTTAGCACTTCTGGTCATGGAAGTTGTTTACTGGGACACACAGACAGGAAACAAACCAGCGGAATTTGTAACATATTATGTGGTGATATGTGTGTAAGGCAGTGTTGGGGTCTGTGTGGAAGAGGGTTGAGAACAGGACTCACTAGTGTTGGGATGATCACCCAGGAAGGTGCAGTGGCCAC